ACATTTTCACTTGACTCTTCGATGCGATGGTTAGACTACAATTTTATAGAATTCTAAATTGATTCCTGTTAAAAATTCCCATGGGATGAGAAAAGTACACGGCATGTCCCATATCTCCATTTCCGTATGAAATGGCAACCTTGTCCCTTCTTGATAGGAAAACATTGATTATAAAACAGCCCTCTTGGGGGTTGATTTGAATGATGTATCGTAAGATTATTATTTTTTACATTTTACATTTAGCAAAGTAAAAAGTAATAAAATATTAGGATATAAAATGTAAAAAATTATAATTTTGAAATGTATTGTGCAAATAAGTTTTAATTTATAGAAAGTGCAATCATCCGGAGAAAAATGATTATGTCACAAATTTTCTATAATTAATATTTGTTTGAATGAAGAAAAAGTAGAAAACAAAAAAGTGAAAATTTGTTATTTAAGGTAGAAAGTGACTAAAATTCCCAATCAATTTAATATCCCTCAATTGAAAAACCAAACCATGGGGTAGATTTCACTTAACAGTTAAACACCCTTTTTTTTATTGTCATTTTTGTCGCCTGAATTTTAACTGCAATGATTCAAACACTAGACTGCCAGTAAACCTGCAACATGAACATCTCCATCTACTCTTCGGTTAATAAACTAATCGTTAAAAGACTATTAGGGGTGCAATATGAACCAAACCATGGGTGCGTTTTGGATAAGATTTTAGACGAAAGTGTTCTCGTATAATTTTCATTAAAAAATCATTGGGCGCTCCATTACAAGAAAGCAAATCATCGGGTGTTCCATTGAATTTGGGTAGGATTATTAGGAAAACAAAAAAAAAAAAAAACAAACAAACCAAGAAAATATAAGGGCCTGTTTGGTTTAGTGATTTTTTGTTTCCATTTTCAATGAAAACTGAAAATGATGTTAAAATTCTATTTGATAGGTTAATTTTTATTTTCATTTTCTTAAAATGTTCTCTAAAATAGGATGAAAACTAAAAATAATAAAAAGTTGTTTTAAAATTTTTTTGACTAAAATAAAAGTGCAGTGGAAAATTGATAATTAAATTGATTTTTTAGTATTTTTTTTCTTTTCCTCATGTTAGTGTACTTCTCTTTGCTCCTCGCCGCTAGTCTATCGATCGGCGAAACTTGTCTTTGGTCTCACTGCCGATACTAGTTAGCTGTTCATGCATTCATTCTTTCCTCGCTGATCTCCACTCCACCTAGATAATTCATTTGTAGAAACCATTGGAGTAGATGAAGCAAAAATGATAATAAGAAAAACAACTTGGTTGACTAGTTGCTTTTAGATTTGCATGAATCGATTGATTATTGGTTTTGCCATCTACAAGAATCAGCCAATTGGCGGAATCGGCGGTAGGAGTCGACTAATTGAATTGGATGCAAGATTTGATTGATTGGTAAAACGGGCAATCAGAGTGAACTATTGAAATACAATGCCACATTTGAATTTGAAGCAAAGATTGATCGATTAGCAGTTCAATTAGCCTAGCTAGTAGTAATTTTTTTAAAATTTCAATACCTTCAATTTTCAATTGAAAAATTTCCTTTTTAGCGAGAGTTCAATTGATTGAGGAAAATCCTAAAAGATGAACAGTGCAAGAGTTTTGTACTTTGGCCTATTATCTCTTTTTTTTAATTCAATTTAATCTTAAACTCTTGAAACCTTTATCTAACCTTCAAAACTTTTGATTTGTTTAGTTAAATCCTACCCAAAACTTTGAAATTCTAATTTTATCCAATTAATCCTTATTTTCAATTTACTGAAAATAGGAAAGCCATTCACACTATTATTATTTTCATTTGTTGAAAATAGAAAATAGAATACCAAATAAAACACATTTTTAAAATTTAAAAATCTAACAATAAAATTTATTTGTAGAAAAATAAAAAATAAAAATAGAAAACATTTTTGCAAACCAAATAAACCCTAAGTTTTCTTTTTTGAAGAGTAAGAAAAAAATTTCCTTTTGTATCACAAAAATATAGATAAAGATCAATTTAATGACATAAGAGTATGTTGGTATTGCAAAATCAGTAACATGAATAAAAATAAATTTTAGGAAAATTGACTTATTTATCATACAATACAAAAAAAGATATTTTATGTAACATCTCAACCCAAACCCTTACCATGTATTTTATGTTGCATTAGTATAATTAGTGATATTATCAGTTATTTAAATTTAGTTTAAAAAGCCCTAAATATTTGTGGGTAAGAAGGGTTAGCATAAAAAATAAATAAAAATATATAATAATAAAAATAAATAAATAAATAAATCAATCAATAAAAAGAAGAAGAAAGAGATGAGGTGGAGTGGGGCCACCTTTGGTGTTTTTTTGGGGAAGTAAGAAGAGAAAGGACAGTGAAGAAGAAAGAAAAGGAAATAAAGAAAAGGAAAAGAAAGGAAAGGAAAGAAAAGAAAAGAGAATAAGAGAAAGAAAGAGAAAGAGAAAGAGAGAAGGAGGCGAGCGAGAGAAGACGAACGAAAGGGAAGGTGCAGGCGACGGAAAGTAGTTCAAGCGAGGATCAGGTTAAATTTTTTAAAATAATAATTTGTTTTTAGTTATTTCTAATCTAGTTGCAGTTTAGATCTTTTTAATTAGTTCAGATTTTGTATTAATTGTTGTTTTATGATGAAAAATTTATGAATAATTTCTATTAGTTTAGATTAAATTTCTATTAATTCATGTTAAATTTTGCTAAGAAGGTGACCAAGTTAGGTTAGTAAAAACAAGACTAAATTGATACTAAAATCTGTCGAAACTCTAGTCAATAATTTTGCTGACACACCTACAGATTATTTTTCATAAAAAAATAATTATAACTCCTTTTGCGAACGTGAGTATACCTTAGTATACCTAACTTGACAATGAGTATAAAATAATATTTTGAGAATTTTTGGAATACGTATGTAGTAAAAACTTTGACCACAAATAAAAATGGTAGAAAACAACCTAATTAGGAGTACATCTCATGTATATACTAGCATATTCATGCATCCATGCATCATTTTGGCGTGTTATTAATAGCGTATGTGGTTACACTTTAGGACAAGTAAACCGGCCAGTCAGTGAGGTCAACAAGATTGAGTCTGGACACACATAATATCAGCAAAGGTGAGTAGTCTTTTTCCTAAATTCAGGATTTTCCTAAAATAGTAAAACTAATAATTTCTTTTTACTAATAAATGTTTTATTTAAAAATCAAAGGTTTTATTTTGAAATGTTTTTATTTATATGTCATGATTATTTTGCTATGTGAAAGGGAAACAAGAATTTCATTTTTATGCCGTATGTTATATATGTGAATGGTTGCAATTCACCTGGATAATTCGCTGGGTAACCACATTAGTGTGGTAGTACTACATGATTTATTTGCCCGGTGGGGCCTTATGACACCAACAAACTATGTGTGTTCGTCTATAGGGGTGGTGTCCTATGGAACGAGTCTCATGGCCAGTAGCTCCACTTGGATTTTTATTATGTTATATTTATGTCTACGTGCACGTCAGACCTTATGTTTACTTATGAAGCTGTTATATTTTTACTTCCATCCTTAGCCATATAAGATATTTTACTATGGGTAGATCTGCAGGCTCAACGGGTGAATTTGTTTTAATTTTAAATTATGATTAGTGAATTAATATCTCATGATATGATATTTTATATCAGTTATTTTAGTTTTATGAATTATTTTTAATTACAGTATTATGCGAAATATTCCTATTTTACTGGTTTTAGTGATAAGACCATTCACTGGGACGAAGGTCTCACCACTTATTTATTTTTTTCAAGTTCCAGCAATAGAGACCTGTAGTTATACCACGTGCATCCAACATATCTACTACTTATATTTTAGTAAGGTTGGGCCCCACCCTTGTCAATAACAGCTAGTTTGAGTTGTTGTTATGAGTGAAAATTAGCTAGGGGGTCTGTATAAAAATCTTATGTTGGAACGAAGTGTTATGTAAGATAATCATGTTTTCTGTTATAGTAATATCTTAATTTTTATGTAATGTTTTGTTAAATATTTTTTTTAGTATAAGTTGTACGTTTGGCTCAGAAGGTACGATAGTTGAATAAGGTTTGACTTTCTCCGATGAATTCTGGGCATCGGAGGTGGTTAAACCCTATTCTACTGTCACGCCTTACTCGAGTTAAGGGGTGGGGTGTGACATTTTAAGTTTAAAAAATTCGTTGTTTTATTAAAAAAAAAAGTTACTAAGTGTGTAACCTTATCCCTAGTTGTAAAATGATTGTTTTGATGATTTATACATTGTAAGAAACAATATTAAATATTTTTACATTGTATTAGCTAAATAATTTTATCACAAATTTATCCCATATATTATTTCATGGGATTATTTTTGTTGATGTATTTGGTCCTAAATATGCCTACTAAGAAATAGAAAAGGTTGCCCATATTAATTGTATATTAAGTAATTATTTTTAAGTTCTTGTAAGTATTATAATCTATTTTATAATCTCATTCTATTATGACTATCCATATTAACTCAAACTACACTCGTTCCATGTATTAAGTAATTGATTAGTTACAACATGATCTTATTTAAAAAAAAAAAAAGAACAACCGACCGGAAAAGAAAGAAGGGTATATGAATAAGAAAGACTTTTTCCGGTTCAACCGGGAGGTGCACACTTGCGTTATTAGCGCGTCTCCCTCCCTCTCACTAGCCGTCGGAGAGGTTAGTCTCGCGCCCGCTCGGTCCCCGGGGCATATGCAGTTTTGGGTCCGCCGCCGCCAGCGCCACTTTCGTCGCCGCAGGGTTTGTGTTTTCTTTCTTTCGTATCTCTGTCTTATGGTGTTCAAATTATACACAGACGTGAATGTATACTTGAGAGTTCACGCACTGAAGAGGCAAGCAAGCTTTTATTAGAGTAACCCTAGATAGAAAAGGTTCTTCTTTGCGGTTAAATTGACCGGGTTGGTCTTTTATGCATGTGGTCTTACTGGTTTTCTCAATGCGTTCTTTTATGATTTTTGGTGTTTGTGCTTATAGGATTCATGGGATCAATGAAGAGAAAGTCGTTAGAGCATCCGCATGAGGACTCTAGCCCTCCTTCTAAACATCGTTTATTAGCCGTGGATGAATCTGTAGCATGCGTTCACGATGTATCATATCCTGAGGGCTATGTTCCTAGTTTAAACCCCTCACTACCTCAAGCGGATTCAAAACCAGCAAAAGAATTCCCTTTTACGCTTGATCCTTTTCAATCCGAAGCAATTAAATGTCTTGACAGTGGTGAATCCGTCATGGTAAAGTTAATTTCTTGAACTAATATTCATCATTTAATCTTTGTAAAAGAACAAAAGCAGGTATATGGGATGTTAATTGTAAAATAATTAACTCTTCAAAAAAAAAAAAAAATCTTGATAGGTATCAGCTCATACATCAGCAGGGAAAACCGTGGTTGCCCTTTATGCCATTGCCATGTCTTTGCGGAATAAGCAACGGGTTATATATACTTCACCAATTAAAGCACTTAGCAACCAGAAATACAGGGAGTTCAAAGAAGAGTTTTCAGATGTGGGTTTGATGACTGGAGATGTAACTATCGAGCCAAATGCATCTTGCTTGGTGGGTTGGGTGGCTATGTATTGTGTCTTTTCTGTTTGACCTCTAAGCATTTTCTGTCACTAAAAGCATATGAAACAATTTCAGGTGATGACTACAGAAATTTGGCGCAGCATGCAGTACAAAGGATCAGAGATTATTCGTGAGGTAGCTTGGGTTATTTTTGATGAAGTCCATTACATGCGCGATAGGGAGAGAGGTGTTGTATGGGAAGAGAGTATTGTTATGGCTCCAAAGAACTCTAGATTTGTATTTCTTTCTGCAACAGTGCCTAATGCAAAGGAATTTGCAGATTGGGTTGCAAAGGTGATTCAAGATAGCTAACTTCTCTAATTCTGCATTGTAATATTGAGATGGTTAAAAAAGGGCGTGTAGATAAGACAAACCTTCAAAATTTTAGGGCACAGTACAATGAAATGTTTAAACAAGTGAATACATTTTCTAGATTTATAGATGAAAAGTACTTTGGACTTTTTTAACATTTTACAATATAAATCCTTTACATTGAGAAAGAGATGTAAATTTATTCATTTGCTTGCAAATTTATTCCTCAAACTTGTGTTGTGTTTTAAGTCTAATTTATCATCAAGGTTTTACTAAGTTTCTGCGATGGGTCTGTCTGGATCTCTAGGATAGTTTTGAATGCAGGTCTGAATGTGTCAAGAAGCCACCAGTAGGGTCAGTGCCAACTGAAATACTCCTTAAGAAGTGTCCATGCTCTTAATTTACCCTAAAGGCATTATGCCTGGTCATGGAAACTGATAACTACATCACTTTATAGATCTATGTTTTCTTTGTTGAAATAATTTATATCTTAGCATTGAGGCTGGAATAAGATTGTAACACATTGTGATAGAGATTTCAAATATCAGATGATTTTTAATTACCTTTTTACTTTGGCGAGGAATTTAGATTATTACTGGAACACTTTGGAGTTTGAGCTGCCTAGAGATTGCTATAGGCTAGAAACAGAATATGAATGGAAGTGTATTTGTAGAAATAATGGTTTATAAAGAAGAAAAATCAAGTCATACATTTGTTCTAATCAAGCGAAGCTGCTCTTAAGTTGCAAGATTTTCAGGCATAAGAGAACTTGTTTATCATGCCAAAAGAGTATTCTAGAACCTGTATACATCATGTGATTTGTTTTCTCTGGCCCCATCTCCACCCCCTCTCTCCCAAAAAAAGGACAGAAAGGAAAAGATCATAAGAAAAGAAAACGAGAATACATGAAATTAAAAAAAAAAAAATAAAGAGAAAAAAAATGCAGGACTAAATGAGAAGCTAACATTTAGGTTGGCTGTGGGGGCAATAATGGATCCTTGATATTTTATGAATTGTCCAGGTATAACTATTTTATTGTCATCACAATTTAGTTAGTCTGATTTGCTGCATGGACAAAGGCATACTTAAATACGAGAATACTGACATTATTTGCCAGAATGCAGGTGCACCAGCAACCGTGTCATATTGTTTATACTGATTATCGACCTACACCGCTTCAGCATTATGTCTTTCCTGCTGGAGGTGATGGCCTATACTTGGTGGTAGATGAAAAAGGGAAATTTCGAGAGGATAGCTTTCAGAAAGCTTTAAATGCCCTTGTCCCTATTAGTGAAGGTGACAAGAAAATGGATAATGGAAAATGGCAAAAGGGTTTGGTGGTTGGTAAGGCTGGAGAAGAAAGTGACATTTTCAAGATGGTGAAAATGATTGTGCAGCGTCAATATGATCCTGTGATACTTTTCAGCTTTAGCAAAAGGGAGTGTGAACTTCTTGCAATGCAGGTACATTTTCTCCTGATCAAAACCTTGCTTTTTGGGGGGCTGCAAATGCTTTTCTGTTATTATAGTTTCAAATTTCTTGCCATCTGCATATATTATTGTTCAATGTGTTTATTCTTAAGATTATGTTTGAATTATATATTTCCACCATGCACTTACAACATTGTATGAAATTGCATGATATATAAGGTAACAGAAATTGCAGCAACAAATTTCTAATATTTTGATTTATATGTTCCATAAAAAAAAGGTACTTGTGATAAAGAATTTGCGAATATTCTTTACACTATTATGTTTCAGTAAAATTCTTTTTGCATCCGGTTTAATCTTTTTGAGATGCTCTTTGTTTGGTTATATAGATGGCAAAAATGGATCTAAATGAGGATGATGAGAAGCCAATATAGAAACAATATTCTGGAGTGCTATGGATATGTTATCAGATGACGATAAGAAATTACCTCAGGCAAGTTTGGTACTTCTTTTGTTTTGTGATGTGTGTAATAGATCATTGCGACTACAAACATGTTAAATGATGCTTCCGCATTTATGGTGACTTTCAGGTTTCAAATATGCTGCCACTTTTGAAACGTGGAATAGGTGTACATCATTCTGGCTTGCTTCCAATATTGAAGGAAGTGATTGAGATATTGTTTCAAGAAGGACTTATCAAGGTCAGGAGGAAAAAGTCTTGCTATAACTTTGGTTGTTTGATATTGTTATAAGCTCTGTAGTTGCTAAATCATTATGTACCAGTGTTCTTTATATCAGAAGCCAATTAATTAAAATAGAAAGTACATTGGACTTCCTTTTGTGAAAGCTGTTAAAGACATAAATAAATCATTTGATATTAGCTTTTGGGACTTGATGCCCCAGATCCATACTCTTTATTTTCTGTCTTCTCAAAGTTGGCATAAACAGTACAATGGTGAGGTTGCTCCATTATGACTGGAAGGTCACGAGTTCAGGTGATGGAAATAGCCTATCTGCCAAGATGGGTATGTCTGCAACAATTGACAATAACAAAATGAGGAGTGCTATGAGGACTCTATTTACCAAACTTAAACCCAAGATTTACATACAGTGTTTAAAAGAACTTTTTTGGTTGGAGGGAAGAAAGGAAGCATGGATGAATGCAGGAGAAGGGAGGGATTAAATAATTGGTGCTTCTTAGTTTGGTTGAAGGGAAAACAGAGGGATGAGAAAGGTGTTCCATCTAAACCCATTATTTTTGTCTTTTCCAGAAGTTGAAGTATAAATGCAAGAGCTTCCACCCTAGTAATATTTTAAAAGTTACATTAGTATGGTTCAATAGTTAATTTTACTCAATTATAATTAGTCATTTAACCATGTGAATCAAAACTAGTCTAATAATGTCTCATTTGAGAGTAGGTTTATGGAAGTGAGTCTGGGGAAGTGGGTTTGGGAAAAGTGAGTTCAGAGAGAGTGGGTTCTGGAAAAGTGAGCTTTAGATAAAGTGGGTCTTTTTTCTGATTATATTTTGTTTGTGAAAATGGATAACAAATAATAAATGTCCAATTCATGCAAGAAAAAAAATTATCCATCAGAATAATTTTGGTTTATATATATTGACTCTCTCTCTCTCTCTCTCCCCCCCCCCCCCTCCCTCTCTCTGGCGTGTGCGCATGCACGCATCGGGGAATAACACTTTACTTCCCTAACCACCAGTGAAGGCAGTTAGGGGGGTTTAAAATTTTATCCCTTAATCCCCTATCCCAACCCCATTTAATCCCATTGAGGAAGATGAGCTTGGAGCAACGGCTCTCAAACAGGACCTAATGGTTATAATCCTTTTTTTTTTTTTTTACTTCCAATCTTTATTCCCCTCAACTAAACATAAAAAGGAAATAGAATCCTTAGTTATTATATAATCTGCTATTTTGCCAATCACATTGCAGTAGTTTATTAATTAATTATGAAGATGCTGCAGAGATCATTTAATATTACATGTGAACAGTTAATCTTTCAGATTTTTTTTTTTTTAATGCTCTCCATTTTCTGCAGCAAATTTTTTTCCAGTTTATCAGTATCTGTCATATTAAAATATTTTCCTACAGTGTTTGTTTGCGACAGAGACTTTCAGCATAGGATTGAACATGCCTGCAAAAACTGTTGTCTTCACAAATGTTCGTAAATTTGACGGAGATAAGTTTAGATGGATATCCAGCGGGAGTATATACAAATGAGTGGACGTGCTGGTCGTAGAGGTATTGATGAACGTGGGATATGCATCCTCATGCTGGATGAGAAGTTGGAACCTTCTACTGCAAAAACAATGCTTAAAGGAAGTGCTGATAGTTTGAACAGGTGGGGAATTGCTTCAGAATTTGCTGTTAAAAGCTAGATCCTTTAAGAGCTTATGGTTGGATTAAAACCAGGCATCTTTTGCCTCGTGATTTTAAACAGGCATTGACTTGCTTGAGGTTTTGGCTTATGTAGCTTGACAGTATGTAGAATACAACTATGGTAACAGACAATTGGCAAGTAATTTTGACCACTTGTACACCATGATATAATAGAGTGAGGAGAAGCAAAATCATTAAGATTATTTTGATTCACTGCTAACTACTTGTGATTATGAAGTTTGTAGGAGTTGCATTGAAAACCTATTGAGTACACCCCCCCCCCCCAAAAAAAAAAAAAAAAGAAAAAGAATTTTTGGAGAATATCCATTATCCACCATACCTTTTGCTTGAGTTTATGTCAGTATCACGAATGCAAAAATAATGGATGGGCAAAATGCTCGAAGTCAAGTGTCAGTTACAGGAAATGACAAAGTGCTAGGGGACTTTTCATGGTTCAACTAGGAGATAAAAAAAATAGAGTTTCCCATGATACTCAGGGATACTGGATGGTATTTGATGGCTAGCCAAACATAGTTTCCAGGTATTTGTTATGAATTGTTGGCATTGGACTATTTGGTTTTTGCTAATAAACCAATGAAAGAATGACAATAGGTTTTTGGGCCATTCCCTCACAATTGAATCATGTAGAGTCATAAAGGTTACAAATATTTCTAAATTATGACTCTTAAAGGAGTCATTTATTTGTCACAATAAATACCTAATGTCTGACTAGAGTTTACAACTTGAATCGTACTTGCTGCTTTCATGATGACAATTTATTTATTTATTTTGTGGGCAACAGTAATTCGCAAATTATTTGTTGCAATAAGTAGTTTCTCTTGGTATGGTTTGTATATGAACCAAATATTGATAAAACTAGTAAAAGGAAGAATGTGCATGAAAGTTAAAAAAATAGCTTAGGTGAACTGCCTTTTTTTTAGTAAATATGACCGAAACATACAAGTAATCAAAATATATGATATATCTGGGGCCTAAAGATCAATTTATGTTGTTAAAATGCATGTAAATTAAATCCCTTATTTAAGCATGCTTATATCTACCTCAATAATTGATTCAAAGTTAATCTGATTTTTGACTTTGGCACTAGGTTATACTGTTGCCACTTGAGCTTTCACTATCTGTACATTTCTTCATTAGTGAAGTAATATGATCCACAGCTAAATTTTGAGTAATTTCCATTGTATAAATAGCATTTTTTATAATTATAGTTATTATGGTTATTGTAAAATATAAAATTTATTGAATGTTGGTGGACAGGGAGTAATTGCCTTAATGTAACATGAATGAGGTGTTTTCTATATTTACTTTTGTTTGTGTTAACTCTGGATTTGGTGCCCTTCCAGTGCATTCCACTTAAGCTACAACATGATTTTGAATCAAATGCGATGTGAAGATGGCAACCTGAAAATTTGCTCCGTAATTCATTCTATCAGTTTCAGGCTGATCGGGCCATTCCTGACCTTGAGGTGGGCTGGGATTTGAGCTTGATTATTTGATTGATTCTTTGGTTTCTTCATTTCCTTTCAACTTAATATTTGAGCACTAAATGATATTCTACCTACAGAAACAAGCGAAGGATCTTGAAAAGGAAAGGGACTCAATTGTAATAGAAGAAGAAGATAGCTTGGAGAATTATTACTCTCTTCTAGAGCAATATAGAAGTTTGAAAAAGGATGTCCGAGACATTGTGTTAGCTCCAAGATACTGCTTACCCTTTTTGCAGCCTGGAAGGCTTGTTTCCATTGAGTGCACAAAGAATGATGAAATTTCCCATTCTTTCTCAATTGAGGACCAAGTGACGTGGGGAGTAATAATTAATTTCGAGAGGATGAAAAGTCAATCTGAAGGTTAGAGATGGTCTTTCAATTTTCAGTTTATGTGAAATTTCCTTTCCAATGACAACATCTGATCATACAGCAGATAAGTTTAGTAGTTGACATCTTTGCATGATACAGACGATGCAAATAAGAAACCAGAGGATGCCAACTATGCAGTAGATGTGTTTACAAGATGTGCAGTACAGAAGGATGGTAATGGAAAAAAGACAATTAAGATCGTTTCATTGAAGGAGCATGGAGAACCTGTTGTTGTTTCAGTTCCTATCTCCCAGGCAGAGTCTCTAACTTCATGCTTCTGATCATAGTTAATTTTTGTGAAGCATGCTGCTCAAATTTCAAAGGGTTTTTCTTTCTGGTATTTCTTCAAATGAAGTTGATCAGTTGTTACTTCTTTTCAACTTACTTTTAATAGATTTTACTTCCAAGAACTCTTGATAGAAGATAGAATGTTAAATGTCTTCCCTTTTCACTGTCAAAAACCTAATCTCGACTAAACATTAATATATTTTGTTACTCCTGTCTTCTACATAAAAGAATGCAAAGACTTCAAAATTCATTCTCACAAAATTCATTAAATTGGTATTGCAGGTTGGATCATATGCCTGCCATGAATTTTTTACACTATAGTTCTCATTTTAGTCATTATCATGGGCTATCCTTTAAGCAAAACTGAGGTATTTAACTTCTTTGAACAGATTGTAAACTTAAGCAGTGTCAGGCTTGTTATTCCAAAAGATCTTTTACCACTTGAAGCTAGAGAAAATACTCTAAAGAAGGTGTCAGAAGTCCTATCTAGATTTGCTAAAGGAGGAATGCCTCTATTGGATCCTGAAGAAGACATGAAAGTGAGTACAGCAAGTTGTTTTCAACAACTCAAGTTCCATCTTTGTTTCTTTCTTTTTTTGGCCCTTTCTTTCTTTCTTTCATCCTGTCAGATTTAACCCTTTATGGCCATTTCCCAGATTCAGAGTAGCTCATATAGAAAGGCTGTTCGAAGGATAGAGGCTTTAGAAAACCTGTTTGACAAGCATGAGATCGCAAAATCTCCACTTATTGAGCAGAAGCTCAAAGTCTTACACATGAAGAAAGAACTTACTGCCAGGATTAAATCAATTAAGAGAACAATGCGTTCTTCATCAGCATTGGCTTTCAAAGATGAACTTAAAGCAAGAAGAGGGCTCTTAGGAGACTTGGGTGAGAATACTTATGTATTTTGGATCTATTGGCTCACTTATTAGGCAATTTATTTGCATGTGGCAGTCACTGGTATTCCGCTCTTGCTTGTTTGAAGGCTGAGTTGGTCTGATTTGACATCTACATCAGTTCAGGGACAAGTTATCTTTCAAGGCTTTCCTTACTCAGGAACCCTTATTTCATGGTCTAATTTATACATATGATTTACATCTTCATCCACAGGAAAAAAAAGGTTTTATTTCAATATCTGGGCCATAGTTCCCTGCCATTATTGACATAAATTTTCTCTCTTTTTCCTCATCTGTCACTCACTTTTCCTCTCTATCTAAGACTTTGACTTT